ATCCAGGAGCAGGACAACCTGATGGATGCTGAGGACCGCTGCAACCAGCTGATTCAGTCTAAAATCTCTCTGGAGTCAAAGCTGAAGGAGATGCAGGAGCGCCTGGAGGATGAGGAGGAGTTGACCGCCACGCTGACGTCCAAGAAGCGTCAGCTGGAGGACGAGGTGTTATCGCTGAAGAGAGACGTGGATGACCTGGAGATGACCCTGGCTAAAGTGGAGAAAGAGAGACATGGGGCTGAGAACAAGGTTTGCTCCCCAAAAGAGACCATAACAGTGCTTTCCATCACTTCCCTCACTCACAGAATGACGTTTGTTTTTTCTCTCCATGCAGGTGAAGAACCTATCACAGGAGATGGCTGTTCTAGATGAATCCATAGCATCTCTGAGCAGAGAGAAGGCTGCCCTGCAGGAAGCTCACCAGCAGGCATTGAATGACCTCCAGGCGCAAGAGGACAAAGTCAACATGCTGGCCAAGGCCAAAGCTCGACTGGAGCAGCAAGTGGACAGTGTAAGGAGAGATATTCCTGGATGTCTGACAGTAGGCTGCAATAATAAAATGTTATTTATGGATGAGCAGCTTGAGACGACTGGTTGAACCTGTGCTGTATAAATAAAATTGAATTACCTGAAGTTTATTCAGGTAAAATCTTCATATGAAAACTCAGATAAAGCATCTTGAAGGGATGGTTCACACTGAACTGCAATCCTCTGACCTGTGGGGCTTTTTATAATCCACGCTGTGCAGTTTGCTGTTTATGGGATATCAGCTTTGAAACATACTGCCATCCCCCTATCCCCGTGCACACGTCTCACGTTAACGTCTCCAACATGGGTAGCTGTAACCGATCACCGCTAACCACTGCCACGCTCACCAAGTCTCTGAAATGGACAGTTCCCCTGTGTTTGTGTTGTTTGTACCTTTTGTAGCACTTGAATGGAATGAACTGAAACACAATAAGTGTTGCTGTGGAGTCTTTGTATCCATGCTTCAGCTTTTCTGAGTAAAATTCTGGTATTTTGCTTTTCTGTTATTTAATTAGCAGAAATGTGTTT